AGGTTTGGAAGAAACTTGTGATAATAATTTACCAGACCCAGATATGATCTTAGCTGTGAAACATTCTCTGGTTTAGGTGCTTTTAGCACAGCCTCGATTTTGTCCTGTGATTTTTTGTAATCCATGCTTATCCATGACATGTCCACAATATGAGATTTGGTCTTTGAAAAACTCACATTTTTCTCTCTTTGCCCGTAGGCCATACTCCTTAAGCCTATTGAGTACCTTGCTCAGATTTAAAAAGTGTTCATCATCATCCTTTCCTGTCACAATGATGTCATCAAGATAGCACTGTGTTTTTGGTAAATCCTGCAGTACCTGATCCATCGCTCTTTGCCAAATAGCTGGTGCGGAAGCAACACCAAACACTAGGCTCACTAGGTTACGTAGCAGATTATAAGTTTTCGCACCCATCAAACTGAGAAGGACGGGAGCCTTTTTCTCCGTCTCCACGTTATTTGCAGTGCAGTATAACTCCACTCTTTCAATGTAAGCCTCCCAGTCTTCACTGTCAAACTCATCCACTTTACCAACGAATGCCATTTTTAGTCTTTAAATCTTGTCACAGACAATTCCACTTGTTTAGCTTTTGGGAAGATTCACTTGCTGTGTGCTTTTACACGTCCCTTACTCACGCGTGTTATGCCAGCTGTCAGTCACTTTCCTCCCTAACGTCTCTCTTTCTTCCCTCTCCGGTTAACTTGTCACCTCCGGTTGTTGTTTCGGGTCCGTATTTCTCGTCGCCAATTTGTTGTGTCTTTTATATTATATATATTTTAACATAGTATGAAATGAACATGGAAGAAGACTCAGAGATGGGTTTCAGCTTGAACGTTAGTTTACTGAAGAATTACCGGTAACTGACGCTACAAGGTTACCATGACAACCTAAGGTAACAGTGCGCATACACATGACATGGGACCAATACAATGTATCAGTCCGCCAAAAGAAATAGTACCACCCATACACTACACTTGTTTCCATCCCGGTTGTGTTTCTCCCTTTCTAACTTGCTGCAGCATCCTCCTTTCCCTTTTGTGCTTTTAGCCTGGTTCAGTCAAATACTCATTCAAAACATTTCTTCATTTATATATACTGTATGAAGCAAAAACTGAGGACACGCTCATTCCTCTCTGTACTCCCTCTGTCAATCAGTCTATCAGCTGGCAGCATTTAACCACTGCCCCATATGAAGATAGTATTAGTGCAGCAACCCTCCTCCTCCCCATCACTGCCTCATCAGCCAGACCAGCTCTTCAACCCATCTCTTTGCTCCCACGACCAGCGTTTAGGATTTTCATTTCCCCAGGGTCTAAATGCCAAATCATAACAACATTTTCGCATTATAGCAGCAATAAATGTCATTCCTGCATATAAGATCTGCAGGGCCATGTGCTATCTAAACCAATGGATTATTGTTATTATCATTTATATAGTGACAGATTTTTTTGGTGAACTATCAATACAATTCTGACAACCCCCTTTTCTCTCCTGATAGTTCCGTATTCTAAAAAGCACTTTAAAACCAAACTAATACTAATCTTCTGGTTGATAATTATTGAGCTGTTGAGAATCTCTGCTCAATTTCACCTGTGACCCGCAGACTGAGCGCTGGGCTGAGCGCTGGGCTGAGCGCTGGGCTGAGCGCTGGGCTGAGCGCTGGGCTGAGCGCTGGGCTGAGCGCTGGGCTGAGCGCTGGGCTGACTGACCCAAATGGAGAAGTCTGAGAGCTATTCATCTCCGACACCCACTGTACCACCGTTGTAATTGTAAATTCCATTCAAACGGCTTTATATTTGCTCAATACAATGAGGAGCGAGTGAGTCATACCCTTTGTAATAATCTTGTTAAAGCTTCGGTTTGGAATAAAGCCACGAATGAAATTTGAGATTGTTTACAGCTTGTGTGCGTTTCCAGTGGTTTATTTATTCATTCATGTTTATTCGTCTATGAAATGCTCAGGAGGTCTGGGCGATGTGGCCAAAGAATTAGACCACAGGATGGAGAGTGAGAGACAGGAGCCAGTGTGAGACCTGAGGACCGGACTAATGTGATCATACTTCCTGATTCTAGTCAAGACTCGAGCTGCAGCGTTTTGAATGTACTGCAGATGTTTTACAGCCCATTTAGAGAAAACTGCGAGCAGGCCATTGCAGTAGTCTAATCTACTGGAGACAAATGCATAGATAAGAAGTAGTGGCAGCAGCAGCGGCAGCGGTAGAGTACTAGGAGGTGGAGGAGTAGCAGTAGCACCAGTAGGAGTAGTGAGAGGTGGGGGAGGAGGAGTATTGGAAGATGCAGTGGTCGTAGTAATATGTAAAAGTGCCTTCCCTGAACAGGATTCTGCAGTCGTTTGTTGGTCTCAGTATAAATTACAGTGAGTGGCTCAGGATCACAGCAGAACAGTGGAACAACGGAGTGAAGCTTCAGAGATCAGAGACAGGTTTGACAATAGTCTATTTCTACGGCCCCTCCCACAGGAAAACTGAATTACATCAGAATGCCCCACTGGTTGTGAGGGACCGCCACAAGGGCCCACTGTGATGGAGTTCACAAACCACACAACCCTTTGATGTCCACTCCTTGAGAAAGCTGTTGTTTTGATTTTCTAAGATGTAGGAGAACTAATAAGACAAATAATTAGTTTTGATATTTTTTAATGATATGCAGGTTGATGGTAAAAGTGCCGAAAAGTAAGTCATAGTAATACCCCAAAGTGGTAGATATCAGTTCCAAGCTTGCTTAAAGTAGACATGAAATACGTGAAATATGGTCGAGGAAACCATTACAGTGGGCTGCACCCCCCTCCTATGTCCTGGATGTAGTTTCAGTCCTGGATCTACAGCCTTAGTCCTGGATCTAGTCTGAGGCCCTGTTTATACTGAGACGCTGCGCAGACGTTTCCAGTCTATTAACAGAAACGACCAGGCTCCTAATGCAAATTTCTCAGCGTTCACATGAGGTTGAAAAACGATGCAGTTCTAGCGCCCGGCCAGTAGTGGGCAGAGAAACTTTACAAAACGACACACGACCCCCAGCCCCGTGCCCAGCCCCCCTCTCGGCAGTATACTCACTTCCTGTGCCAGACCCTCAGAAAGTACCAACATCATTCTGCATTTTAACAGCAGCTGTGAAAATGGGAACTGAACCTAGAGCTTTGCGTGGTCTCGTTTGGACGAACGAAGGAGTAGAATTATCCTCTGTCCCGCGCTGGAAGCCCACGTAGCTAGTTAGTGCGTGCGGCGCCATTGTTGTTTTTGTTTGTTCTCCGCTACTGCGCATGTCCAAATTTACGTGCGGAGAGCAGCGCGGAGGCGGGGGTCAGAGCAGAGGGGATTTCACACCTTTTTCCCTCTCGCGGGTGTGAAAGACCTCCCCGCTGTGCAGCGTTTCTGAGTTTTCCCACTCTGCAGGCTGGATCTGAACACTTACGTTTTCACCCCCCTTGAACACAGTCTTTGTATGAACGGTTGGTAGCAACCGACATCCAACTATACCGTTTTACTGCCACATTGTCTCCGTGTAAACTCAGCCTCAGTCCATTATCTAAACCCTTTGTCCTGGATCTACAGCTTTTCTGTCCGTGAGAGCAGGTCCTTCTTTCAATGTGGCCCCAAGGTTAACCAACTTTTTTCTCACTGGGTTTTTGTTTAGTTGTTCCTTGAGGAAGCAGGAGGGTCTTAAGACAATGATGATTTATGGACATTAATTAACATTGTGGTGGTCCTCCTGCTCCCATGGACCAATGACTCATAAGAGTTTGTTATTATTGCAATTGTGTTCAAACTGTTTCAATCAATTACTTTGATTGGGTCAGGGCGTTGCAATCCAAGCTACCACTCAATTCTGGTACTGAATATAGAGATGGAGATGGAGATGGACAATGCTAACCTGCTAGCTGTATAAAGCCCGTTAGGGAAGTGCTTGTGGATGAAATTCTGCTCCAACTTAGTCCGGCTCCTTTTGACTTACAAGTAAACTCATCTAGCTCAGTAACCCGCTGGTTGCTGGGGTCAGATATAACCCCAGGAAGCATAGTCTATAGCTACTGGCCAGTTAAAGCTGAATATGTGCAGGACTGACTCTGGATCCAGTCACAACCTGATATGGGTCGCTCCAATCACCACTTCAGGATTCTGACTTTGACAGAAACTGTATAGTGCCTCCAAAGGTCTCATTATAAGGCACAATTGTCTTGTTCAAACGTGTTTTGCCTCTGACCTCACAGGCTGTGTTTTTATCTGCTTTTCCTGAGGCCGTATAGAACTGACACGTTCGTATTGATGTAATGCAGAGAGTGAGAGAAGACAGACTTGACAAAGGTTCCCATGGCGACAGGTACAATGATGTAACCGCTGCTCTTGAAATCATCAGCTCAGTCCACACTGCTACAAATTAGGAAATTGTGGTTGTTTTACTCAACTTTTAATGTGAATGCAATGTTTATCTTCTGTGTAATTAATATAAATCTGTCTTTTTGCGCAACTCTAGTTAGATGTTTGAAGTGCTTATGAGTAAAAGGGTCGGTCAGGTCGGGTTGCCCCATATGACATACTGTACTGACATGAGCCAGATGCCAAATCTCATCTCCGGAGACGTTGCATGTGAAGCTAATTCTGTGGATAATCCAAAGGGGAAATATAAATGAAATAATTATACAATGTCCACCTCATCACTGCGGCTCACATTTATGTGCTTGAGTGAACAATGCTTGCAAAGAGAAGTTTATTCTGGGATAAAAAAAAACAAAAACAAAAGAACAATTGAACAATGATCTTTAAAAAGAAATAGTGGCAGAAACAAGCAAGACCTCAAGAAGCATATGAAATGGCCTACAGCAGGACTAAAGCAAGACCAGGACTGAACAAGGACAAATCAGGTCCATAGTGGGTCTAAAGCAGGACTGAATCAGGACTGAAGCAGGTCTAAAGCGAGATTGAACTGGGACTAAAGCAGGTCTACAGCAGGTCTGAATTCTTGTGTTCTTGTGTCTTCTTCAGGTGAATTTGAACCTGGAGGACGGGCGCTCACTAGGGCTCATGATCAGGGGAGGAGCCGAGTACGGTCTTGGCATCTACATCACAGGAGTGGACCCTGGATCCGCCGCAGACGCTGGGGCCCTCAAGGTAAGAGTCGCTGCTACACGTCAGATCAGTAAGACTTAGACTCATCAGGCCTGTCCCTGCTGTATGTGGACCGTATTGGGGTAAGCTCACACAAGTATTTTACTTCGGCTTACTCCCTTTGAGCTGTGTCTACTTTTTCTTGAAATGTTTTCCTATTGGATTGTTTTTTGTTTTGTATGACCTGCTCAAATAAATTGATTGATTGATTGATTGATTGATTGACCGTATGTTCTGAACTCTCTTCACAAACTGCACAGCTGATGCTTTATTCACATTATGAAACTGAGAGATGTTAGTTATAAAAGAGTGTTCTGTTGTACTGGAGACTTGTGGCCATGTTTTAGAAGAGGCATATTCCTTGACGCGGTTGAAATGCGGGAGGTGTTGCCTCTTGCCTTGTCCTGCCTCACACCGCATGAAGACACCAATCTGAGGCTGTGAACCCACAATCATGTGACCAGATTTTTGTGTCCAAAACTGCGCTATATAAAACCCATGCATTTTTTTGTTAGTAATTTCTGCCAAACCATTTGAATCTTAATATTGAAATAGATATTAAAACAGACAAAAGGTTGTTGTCTTAAGAATGACATGTATTGCTTCTGTACATGACATGCAGTTAATATTTGGAACTTGGACCCCGGCAGAGCACTGTAGAAATTGCAGAAGGGAAAATAAAATATAGATTATGAGATTCCCCTCTTGGTGGGAGCTATAGAAGGGTTGCAGAGCTGGTCTGGATGATGACTCAGTGATGAGGAGGAGGAGGGTTTCTGCACATATGAAAGCTTGATGCAGGGCTGTGTTTAAATGCTGCCAGCTGAGTGTGATTGGCTTATTGCTGATGCGGTGCAGCAGCAGGGGGATGAGTGCAGTGCGCTTGGGCACACGTATGGTTCCAGTCTGAAGCTCAACTTTAGCTTAATAAATATAAATGAAATGTGTTGAATTTATATTTGACTGAACCAGGCTAAAAAAAAGGGAGGGGAAAATGTGTTACACAAACTAATTATACATAGAACTAAAATTGTGATTTATGTGGAGGACTGAGAGCAGTGAACTTGTGCACACAGACTTTCTCCAGTGAAGCTAAACCTCAGCTTTAGCTTCACTTCAGTACAGCTGCCTGTTTGTGTTGTACAGTGGCTTATGGACCAAATAGATTTAATAATAACTTGAGTTGCAAAGACTCACCCTTGTCTAGCATCCACTCTCCTCAGAGCGCCGGTCATCCACTTAGAATACATTTAACATTTTAGTGGCATTGTTCAATTTCAAATCAATGTTTTTATGTATAGCCCTGAATCACAACAGAAGTCGTCTTGGAGGACTTTACAAAGTTGTCAATTCTAATGTAAGAATAACAAACACATAGGAGCTATTGGTCCATTGGGAAGACCACTGTCCAGAAATGTTAAAAAATGTCCATAAATGTCCCCGGGCATCACTATCCTTAGACTCTACTGCATCGGCAAGAAATCATGTGAGAAAAAAAGTGAGAACTGGGACCAACAATGAGAGAGGAATCTGCTCCCACGGACAGACAGGCTGAAGATCCAGGACTGAAGCTCTAGATCCAGAATGCAGTACAGACAGGTAGGGGGGTGCAGCTCACGGACCATTGGAGACCAGTCCCCAGGCTCTTTAAAAGTTGTAATAAATGAAACTTGACCCAACTTTGCCGTCTCTTTATTAAAGTTAAAACACAAGGTGAGACGCAAACTTCCAGACGTGGACCATCCATCACAGGACTTCCATTACTCATCTGCAATCATTTTAATAATCACAGATGGTAATTCAAGAACAGAGTGTAACGTCTGTCCGCTTCAGTCGCTCTGACAAATGACGCCACGCACCACTCAAGCAGTTACTTCATTTAACTGCACAGTGGCCTGGGACTAATGACTGTGTACGTCCCCCATAATGAGCTTTTTTGCTTATTGTAAAACAGCAATTATACAATTTAGAATAGTGCTGTTTGTGCCTCTCTTGTCTCAGTATACATGCGGACTCAGACCTCTCTTGTCTCAGTATACATGCGGACTCAGACCTCTCTTGTCTCAGTATACATGCGGACTCAGACCTCTCTTGTCTCAGTATACATGCGGACTCAGACCACTCTTGTCTCAGTATACATGAGGCTCAGACCCTAACTCTGTCAAAAGAGGTCTCTGGTTTTCCTTGAAAATGATGTGGTGTGAATGACTTCTGACAAAAGTTCGGGTTTGACAGGTGACAGGAAAAACAATCTCTTTCTGAACACTGCATGTAGTGACGTAGGCCTCTGGGGTCAAACAAGAGGCCCGCGAGCCATTTTTATTAGCCCCTGAAAATACGTTAAAGTATTGCTATTAACTTGCAGCATCAATGAGGTTAATATCAGGTTTTACTGTCACGGTGTGGATTTTGTTATTTTGTTCTTTGGTTTTATTTTGACCATAGTTCTATGTGGTTTCCCTCAATCAATCAATCAACTTTATTTGTATGGCGCCTTTCCAACACAAGGCCACTCAAAGCGCCTCACAACCCACATAATATCACACAAATCAGAGACATCAATAAATACATTAAAAACAGAATAAAATCACAAGTAATGAAAAAAAAAAAAAATATTAAAAGCACACACGGGATTAAAATAATAAATAACCACAATGCATTAAAAAAAAAAAAAAAAAAAAGAGTATGTATCAATAAAATCCTTCAGCCGTATGCACAGCTAAAAAGAACAGTTTTTAGCCCTGATTTAAAAATTGCCAGAGTAGATGCTAGCCTCACATCTTCAGGAAGATTGTTCCAGATTTTAGCTCCATAAATCTCAAACGCTGCCTCCCCATGTTTAGTTCTGACTCTTGGAACCAGTAAGAGGCTACCTCCTGTGCTCCTCAGAGTCCGGGCCGGTTCATATGGGACTAACAAGTCGCTTAAGTACCCTGGTGCGAGGCCATGGAGAGACTTGTACACAAGCAGTGCTGCTTTGAAGTCTATTCTCTGAGCCACAGGAAGCCAGTGCAGAGACCTGAGAACTGGACTAATGTGGTCATATTTCCTGGTCCTGGTCAGGACTCGAGCTGCAGCATTTTGGACATACTGCAGTTGTTTTACAGCCTGTTTGGAGAGACCTGTGAGCAGGCCATTGCAGTAGTCTAACCTACTGGAGACAAATGCATGGATGAGAATCTCCAGATCTGATTTAGACACTATGTTTCTAATTTTGGCAATGTTTTTCAGATGGTAAAATGCTGCTGATGTTACTGATTTGATATGACTGTTAAAATTTAAGTCTGAGTCCATTATAACTCCTAGGTTTCTGACCTTGCCTACAGGTTCCAGGGAGAGAGACTGGAGGTGACGAATAACGCTCTCTCTTTGTTTCTGAGGACCAAAGACAATCAATTCTGTTTTGTCTGCGTTTAGCTGAAGGAAGTTATTTTGCATCCAATCACTAATCTGTTGAGTACAGTGAAGGAGTGATTCCACTGGTCCATGTTCTCCTGCAGTAAGTGAGACATAAATTTGAGTGTCATCAGCGTAATTGTGGTAGGATACATTGTTGGAGTATTAACTGACCTAACGGCAGCATGTAAATCCCTTCAGTTTTACTTCCTGTCCTGTTCCCCGGTTGATTGTCTGCCCCGCCCTGATGTGTTTCACTTCTGTGTCTGTGTCTATAAGTACCCTGTGCTCCTCTCCCCTTGATGCTGGTCCATTGTATTGTCAATATCCTGTTCCTGATTTTTTGAGTCTTTTTATCACCTGGACTTTTATTATTTATAATTAAACCATTTTTATTTGGCATTCCTGCATTTTTGGGTCCTTCCTCCATCTCACATCGTGACAATACCTAATTTCAAAGCTAAATCATTTATCAAAAAACCCCATCTAATTAATTGTATTCGGAATTTGAACCCAACACAACATTTAATGTTGACCCAGTTTTGGTTGGGGTGGTAATGAGATTTGCCACCCAATTCTTTTCGTTTTGGTTCTGTCCAAACATACTAACTGAACTACTTTTGCTGAGAAAAAATCCTCAGAAAATAATCTCCAAACTCAGGTCAGATAAAAGTAATCCACAGATGCAAAGATGAGCAATCAATCACTTTTATACTTTTGGCCCCCAGGGAGATATTATTTTTTAAATCTTGCCCCCGACAGACATGAGTTTGACAGCCATGACGTGGGCTGATAATCTCTCTAGAAACACATTTAGCTGGCAGCGTATTCCACTCAATTTAGAGTAATCATCAGAATTTTTGACATTGTACCTCTGTTATATCTGTATTACTACTAAACCAGGAGTGGCCAACCCGCGGCTCGTGAGCCGCATGCGGTTCTTTGGCTGGTTCCGTGCGGCTCTCGGGCTTTCACATGACAAGCGTCAAAAACGCCTCGGTGGTGGCGCTGCCATTCATTCTCTATGTAGTTCTGACCAATAGTAAAGGCCGACTTCACTCCACTAGCCGGGCCGTCAAAACAATCTGACGTCGGCGAACGTCAATTCTGATTGGTCAGTCACTCTGCAGCTGCTGCCTCAGCTGTTGCAAATATCATAACAAACAACACGTTGCCTCGACCCATGGCGTCCGTACGGAAAACAGTTCCTGGGTCGCTGGATGAGGGCAACACCTTCCTCAGTTTGAGGAGAGGACACCAGTGTGAGTTCGATGGTTCCACCAGAAACCAGAAGGTGTTTGTGGAGCTAGCGCTAAGGACGGAGCAGAATGATTCCCTCGAACATCACAATGCAGAGAAAAATTAAAAAGCTTAAAAGTGACAACCGTGAAATGAAAGATCACAGCAGCAGAAGTAGAGGCAGATCCGAAAAGTCTGGAGGTGGTTTGACCAAATGGATTAAAGTTACGGACATCGGCTAACACCGGCTAACATGCTAACACCAGCTAACACCAGCTACACGAGGAGATAAGCCAACTCTGCCTGGTGAGTGTCTGTCTTCAATCAAATGCAAAAGTATCTGGTCTTATACTGAACATGTGTCTGGT